GTAGTAGTTATGCTCTAAAGGCGACAAAGAAGAGAACTGGAAAAAAGAAGGATTTATTACCATTTATATGATGAATAAATGAGTGTGACACAAAGAAAAAATAACTAAAGAATTGCTGATATAATAATTTTTTCTCCTGTTTTCTTTTTTTTTTTAACTGATAGAACAAATTCATGTACGGAAATGACGGTGTAAACACGTATGAGCTGCAGAAAAAGCGATGAAACGAACAAATTTCAATGCTATTAATTGGATTTGTAGTAATTGCCTTGACGTCTGATGCTACAAGGTAGTTTCTTTAACAAGACTTAAAGCAATTTGCAGTTAATGGCACCGAGTTCAGTAATACAGTTTACGTAAATTTGACTATTTATAATCAAAAAGATACATTTAAAAAAAAGCAAGGCAAGCAATTGAAACAACTGGACAAATGCAAAGGCGAGAAGAAAGTGGATTTAAATAGGAAGATAAAAGATTGCATGAAGTAGTGTAAAGCCCTTTGTCTTTTTTTTTTTTACTACTTTGGTTGATTGTTCATTTGTTTTTTTATTTGTTTATTTGTTTGAAACTGCAAAATGTTAGCAACAATTTTATTGATGAAAATTCTTATCAAAAAGGCATCGAACGTTGAAATTTATCTCTTTTTTTTTTCGTTTGTCTACTTCTACTTTATTTGTTTCTGTCTGTTTCCATTTCTTTCATTCACTGATCTGAGTTTTTTTTTGTCGTTAACTCTCATCTAATAATTTATGTTAGATGAAATTAGTAAGTAGAAGTAAAGACGAAAAAGAAAAAAAAGGAGAAAAAGAAAGAAGTCTCTTTTTCTCCAGTTTTTTTTGTTTGAATTCTCCCCTCTTCCTATCCAATAAATCGATGAATGATTTTTCAAAAAAAAAAAAAATAAAAAAATAAAAATAAAATTGGTTTTTTCTTTTTGCCATTTTTGAAAAGTTTACATTTTAAAGAAAAACTACGCACACTTAGCATCGTAAGGCGCAGAAACACATAAATGCTCTCCGTATTGCCTTTGACTGCTACTGCTGCATCTTCCCCTTCTTCTCCTTCTGTTGCTGCTGCTGCTGCTGCTGCTGCTGCTGCAGCCCGTATGTATGTTTCTTTTGAACAGCCTAACATAGTCTGTTTTCATACCACATATTTAGTGGGAACATTGTTTCAGCATACAACTTTTTCTACTTGTTACATCATCTGAATGTTGAAAAAAAGCAATAGTATTCTTATTGTTACTATTATTATTATTATTATTATTATT